TGTAAAATGGCTCTAACAACAACTTATCTCAAATAACATAGCTCTTCTTAATGTTATTTTTAATTTTAGCTTTTTGCATTAAATTAACGATAAAACATTTGTTGATTTCATACTATCCATTATCCTTTTATTTCTATTCAAATATGTCATACGTGATTATTTTAATTATACTGTTAATATTGCATATGCATAGTCAAACGTAAAAACAAGTAATAGGAACACTGCAATACTGTAAAATGGAGGTTGTCTTACTTGAAGAAACATCAATTTCAGTAATATAATATAAAAATCTATGTTTACAAAACGTTTTTTTTTTCTAAGCTCCAAGAACTTATTATGTCATTGCTGTGCTTACATTTCCATTAGTATCGAAATCTTAGAAGTAACATATGCAAGTTTTACTTCGGCCGATTATTTTTTGTCAAGATCTCCCTGTTAGGCTTATTATAAACTCATCAACATAAAGAATTCAAATAAAGGATTATAAGTGAAGTGCACTGTAACCGTGTTAATGGCATGATAAATAAGAATAAACAACATGTTAACAAATCATATGCCTCATTGTTTATTGTATTTAGGATCATTTCAATCAATTGATTCCTATTTTCACAAAATTGTTAAAACAATCAAAGCGCTCCATTATTTATAAGCTATTCAAATAATAAATATTTATGACAGGAACACGCTCAAAATTTCCATTTTGACAGCATTGTAAAAATTAATTGTTTCAATGATGCATATTAATTTTAGATTGATTCGTCATCTTAGTGCAAGAACTTAACCCGTTACTGCACTAAGGTGACAGATTGTCCTAGAAACAAACAAAACAATTGTAAACAATCTAGCGTAGAAAAGGTGTTTTTCATGAAGTCAATATGATACTTAAGGTACTACACCTCCAATGCACTATCTCCACTTTGAAGAGTATTCAAATAGGCTAGAATCACTGTCAATTGTATTGAAACTGAGGGGCTTGGGTTCAAACCAAGAAGGGGCAACTTTTTTTTTCTTTTTAACATTTTTTATGAATCACTAAGATCCCTAATGGAAGAAAAAGGTTTTCAATCTTAATTATATAATTATTGTAGGTATTAATTTGCTAAATAATGCCAAATTTAATTGCAAATAATTTTATGATACCAGATATTTTCAAAGACTAATAAAATAAAAATTACACGGTAAAAGTATATTATATTTTGCAAGACCAACCAATATACATTTAAGAAAATTTAGGCAAACTTTGAAAACAGCCCCTCGATCATTGAGGAAATTTTTAAGGATATTTTAAATAAAGCTTTTTACATAGGGAAATGGTCAAATAAGTGTTTAAAGTGGGTGGGGTAGGGTAACATTTTTATACATATTAAAAAACATTTCGTTAAGAAACAATCGTTTTGCTTGTTTAATTTTGTTACCTGAATGTCATTCATTATCTGTTTCTTAACAATGAGCAATATAAAATCATATTTCATAATGATGATATAATAGATTCTTTAGAGTTTCCTCATTTCTGAAAAAATTCTCTTTTAATGGCACAGTTTTAGTTCAGAAAAATGTCAATAACTCATAAACCACACGGTAAATTTTGTTTATTTTTTACAGTTCCTTATAGTGCTCATAAGAGGTGTACTACCTTAACCGAGCATTAAAAGTTGTTTTGTTTGCTACATCAAATGTAAAAATTCAGAAAATAATATTATTTAAGATTTATCACCTAATTCATATCACTTTCCCATTATGATAAAGATTGTAAGGTATATGCATAACTAGTTCCCATCCTAAGTATCATTTACTAAATATAATTTTTTTTTTGTCAGCCAATGACATAAACTCTTATAATATATGAGCCTTTCTTATAAAAACAAGATATGGACGTGAGGATCTATATTAGTGTCAAAAGAGTTGCTCGAGTTTCCTAATTTATCTTTTACAACCACGTTTTTCTCACCGGAAAGCATACATAGGTCTAACACCACTAAAAAACGTCTTTAACCATGGCTACTTCGATTGTTCCGCGTTTAACTTTTGAGACATGGAGGAGCACGTGACCTGTTTTCGGTACATGGAGGAGCATGTGATCTGTAAACCGTACATGATTGGTTAATTGACCTTTTCGAAAAACTAGCTAAATACCGTTTGCCGGTACGTTACGGATTTACCTCTAGGGAATGAGTCCGAATTACACCTAATTATCAACAAAAAACTATTCCGTGATATTTTTAATTTTCTATAATTATTTTACCGTTTAAGGTGGAAAAAAACTTGAATAATGTGTTTGAAAATTATCAATGTTTCTTTAACATCTATCTCAAATTTTACAAACAATAAATTGTTTATACTGAAAATCTACAAAATTAAAATATTCGTAGTGGCATCTGCCATACTAAATAGAGATATTTTCTGCGTAAACTTGTGTGTTATTTTATTATTTTTTTTGCTCGGAATTATTCAGAAAATGGTATTTAATCATTTTCTTAAAAAGAAATAATTGTTTTATGTTCGACCTTCTCCGGTCTCAGGTCTTTAACGGTTACCAGTTTCATAAGACATTCTTCTATATTGATCGATTATTGTCAACTATATTCCTGATACAAACGTTTATTTACCCCCCACCCCAAACAATGTTGAAAATAGTTAAATGAAATATCTTTATATCATTAAAAATGTTCCCCGCAGGAAACCATTTTACTTGTACATCTATAGTATGTATACTCTCCAGAACAATATATTATGTGTGACTCATTAGACGGCGCGTGAACGCGCCGTCTTGTACATGTAGATATGCATTTGTCCGTAAAGCAATGGGGCAAATTTAAGACTTGATTTTGTGCATTTTTTTTTGTTTTAACAAAATCACATTGATTTCAAATTTTCTAATACAAATCAAAGGTGTTAGTGTCATTGATTTGACCTAAAATGTGTTTAACCTTGTTATTAATGCAATAAAATATCAAAATGCTAAAAAAAAAAAAAAAATGTAAAATGTAAAAAAAAATTTCACTGTTATATTATTATAAAATTTTTTTTTTTAGTATATTGATATTTTATTGCATAAATAACAAGGTTAAACACATTTTAGGTCAAATCAATGACACTAGCACCTTTGATACAAATAGCTTTTCTGATGTACAACATGTAACGGAGCTTTAAGGGATTAAAATAAACGTTTAACTGAAGTGATAGTGTTAAGTTGGAATATCATATTCTTTTTATAATTATCTAATTTTATCTAAGTAATAAATAACGTGCCAATGAGCCAGTCTATAGTCGATCGTTCTTAAACTTAACCGTTGAGAGTGGTGACGACTGAAGCAGTGTCAGTCACTTCATTTGCTTCGTCTCTGTTGAAGTTCGTCTCCGCATTAAATTGTCGACAAATTCAATATGCTAGCATTTAGTCTTCGTTGACGGGGATGGGGGGAGGGAACCAGGACAACTATGATCAATATAACTTGACGAATTATTAAATTACAAGTTACAAAGCCTAAACCTTGCCCACTATCAGAGAGGCAGTTCTACCTCAACCCTTAGCTCCACACTATAGTCTAATGACGGGAACCAAATTCGGGCAGGGAACAAAAGGTATCACTAAAATACGCAACGGAGATTATTTTGGCGCTACGGACGCACCGGAAATATTTTTTTTTGCAAAACAGGCAAAACGTGCGCTACATGTTATTCATGAAAATAATTAACATTTAAGTTAATTAGATTAACTGAGTGAAAAAAGTACGTTCATTTAAAAACGTGAGTGAAAAAAGTACGTTCATTTAAAAACGTATCACAGATTTTTACAATATGTTATTTTGATGGATTCTGTGCCCGACGATTCTTCTCTTTTGCCTAGATTTTTTATTACATTTAGTGGTCCTATGCCTAGATTCTCGGCGAATATGCAATCTTTTGTTAATTCAAGCAGTTTAATCTTTTATAAATAAGTAAGCAATACGTAACAAAGAATTGATTATATATATTTTCGCTATTTGTAAAATTCTCAAAATCATTTGAACATTATGCAATTCGCACGGATATCTAAATGGACATATTCTCGGTACATAGTGTCTTGAATAAATTTTAAGTATACCAATCATTTCAATTTCTTTTGTTATTATCCACTTTAGTTTGCTTCGACCAGCGCAACAGACAAACATTTCAGAATTGCAGACACATACCAAGAACATGGAGAAAAAATTGGTTAGTGCTTGATTTTGTACATTACCTGTGACTGTTCACATCATTTAGCGGCGTCTTTGATGTGCAGCATCAACATTTAACTTGTTATATATGTTCTAACTATCACTCTCGGATAAAGGTTCGTTCTGTTTCCTTATTTTATATTTGGTATATTGATGATAAAAAAGATAATATTTAGGAGAAAAAATAGAAAAATTGATTCCTAATCTAATCTCACTTACATGCAAAAATTTGTCTTACATCTGTTGATAACCAAGACAGCTTTTTCTACATATATTTTGTTGTAAATGTGGTTTTGTAGAACTAATCCTATTAAATACAGGTAAATTGATCTTTTGATAGATTATCAACATAGCCGACATAATATTATTCTTTTATGTTCTTTCCATTTCAATAGCGCTGCAAATTATTCATAATTCTTCTTTGCATGCATGTTTTGTTGTTTCGAAATTGTTTAAGCGGGTTCAGTTTGCAATTTGCTGTCAATTGGGTAGGATAAAATTGAAAAGTAATTAATTTCGTGCGAAAAAATGGTTGCTGCATTTCTTAACAGATATTTCATTTTTATTTTTCTTGCGATTTATTTTTGTTTTTCAAACGCACAAATTTTGGAAAAGGAATGTACTAAATTTGAATCTAAATTAGATAGACTGTCTTATATCCCACAAACAGATGCGACATTAATTGTACTTCATGGTAAATCATTGGTGTCATGCATTTATCAATGTCAAAGTCTTGAAATGCCATCGTCGTACTTCGTTGAAAATAATTCTACATGTTATTGTAGTTCTGATGATTCTTACAACATGGACAAACATGATGATGCTGACGCAACTATTATCCGGGGAATAAGAAAGGAGAAGGTGTCAAAAACGTGTATTAAAGTAAGCATAATAAAAGTAATTATTTCTTTTATATTTTTGTGTTAATTATCTAGTATTTGTTTTTCTAAACTTGTCTTAAAGGTTTGTGCCTGTCAATTTTATTACTTTTTGAAAAAGAATGTTTATAAACAATTCTTATTAATCATTAATTATAAAAATACAAATGTATATACAAAATGTATTATAAACTAAATCGCCTAATGTCATCTATATCAAAGACTCGGCCAATTCGGAGTAGCTCATCTTTCATAGCTTAAGATATTACATATATTTGTATTTTACGTTTAAGATATCTAATGGTTTCTTATAATCTCATAATATATATAATATACATTTTTATTTTGATAATGATCAATTGACATGTGTTTGACACAAATCGTGATTTATAGAGATAAAAAATCAGCAAAATGTTTAATTTTGAAGGAAGCGTTTATTATCATGTTTTACAGGAAGGCAGTCAAAAAGTAGAAAGAATTCACAAGCAACCCGAGCCAGTTGACTGTCTTGCGTTTTATCGACAAGGCTATACCGAGGACGGTGTGTACGTGATAAAACCAACTGGAAGTACTGCTACTGATGTGTGGTGTGATATGACCAATGGTGGATGGACGGTTATACAACGCCGACAAGACGGATCAGAAGATTTCTACAGAAACTGGGAAGACTACAAGAATGGATTTGGGAACAGGAGTAGCGAGTATTGGCTCGGACTTGAACATATATACTATTTGACGATAAACAACAGTTCACTCCAGGTATGCTTGGAAACGTTTGAAATTGACAATGTTGATCCAGTTTCTGCTTATGCTGAGTATTCCACCTTCAGAATTAATCATGAGAGTGATAAATACAGATTGTCGGTTGGAGGATATGGCGGTTCGTGTGGCGATTCCATGTCGTTTCATAACAATAGTCAATTCACAACAAAAGACAGTGATAATGACCAACGCGGCGAGGAATTGTGCAGTGCAGTTTAGCGGAGCTTGGTGGTACACAGATTGTTATCATAGTAATCTAAATGGATTGTACCCACACACCAATGGTTTAGAGACAAATAAGGGCATAACTTGGACAAATTGCTGGGGTCATTACTCGCTCAAGAAATCTGTAATGAAGATAAGGAGAAACAATTGATTTTTTTTCCAAATTTCAAGTTTATTGACAAATCGACAATGAGCATTGTCTTTGGCCGACATTCACTATATGGCAATGACATTTAACATCAATATAACTATAAACATGTTTACATTTTTAAACTGATACAATCAAACAAATGTATAGATAATAACAAGTTAATAAGCAACAATTTTATACTTCAGAGATAAGGATTTAATTACTCGTTAAGAGCCTGTGAGAAGTTCCAAATAATTGTTTCGACATTTCATTGACTCATCTATATATTTCGCTATTTTAAAAAGTGTAAATTTACTTTTTGTTGACATAAGCTACTTAAGCTTATGAACATTTGGCCATATGATATTTCCTAAGTATTGTTTTCTTAAATCATCATATTTATTACAACATAGAAAAAATGGTACTCAGATTCAATAACATTTGAAGACATAATTTACATAATCTTTTCTGTCTATCCATCCCATTAAATCTTCCTTTTTCAATTTCCAAATTATGCGAATAAAGTCTAGTAAAAGATTTTCTTGTAGCCTCATTGCTTATTTAAATAAAATAATCATCAAATTAAAAAAAAAACTGGCCCCGGATCCTATTTTTAAACAAACTTAAATAATTTGAATTACAGTCATAGCGAATACTTGTAAGACCTAAATGATCAATAATTGAATGGAGTTTAGAAGCCCATCAATTTGTGATAGGTCTCTATATAGCAAGTACATAGGGGAGTAGGGAGTTTTCAACTTTTATAGACGTTTCTTTACAAATGGCTTAAAACGGGAGTATGATGAAGTTTTATTGCGCGTGCGTACGTGTGAGTGTGTGTGTGTTTTCTTTATTTCCTTTTCAGCTCGCATGTCACAAAGTGACAAGGTATGCGTTTGTGATCACAATCCGTTTATTCAAATAAAAGCCCTTGGATCATAATTGGCCCTGCACAATGGGGTTATTGATTTTCCTTATATGTATATTGTAAAAACTTAAAAAATCTTCTTTTACAAAAAAGCTAGAGCTTACATATTAAATAAAACCCTGGGATAAAAATTGGCCCGCCCGTTCCTGATATGTTCACATATTTTGGAACTTTTGTTTTCTCTTAGCAGTAGCAACCAGTCAAATTTGTTTACACATGCACTTTTTCAGATACAAATATGAACATTGTGATATCAGTTTAACATTTAAATTATATATATATGTTGTTTTTTATAGTTTACAATATTACTTGTACTTTGTCATGGAGAGTTCAGATGAGCGATTTTATGGCCATCATGGCTCTCTTGTTTATATTTCCATACTTCTTCTTTCATTTATACATGTATGTCAGTTACTAATGTGTGAGGGTGATCTGCAACTGGTCGAATCATTAAATAAATTGTTGTTGTTGATGTTGTTGTTGTTTTTGTTATGAAAGATGATGGTAATAACATGTACAATTGTCATTTTTCTGTCTATTAAACATATGTTTTGCTGGTATTTTATTTATTTGTTATAACATAAGTAAAAATATAAAACTAAATATTCTATTAAAAAATGTAGTACCTTTATTTTCAAACAGTATAAATATATTTAAAGGTTAACAAATATATGTAAAAACATACAAAAGTACAGCAATAAAAGGCAAAAATATTTTAGTGATGATTATACAAGGCACTGAAATTATAAATTAATTATCAATTAACTTCGCCAGCGTAACATTTTAATCTTATCTATAAATATACTAAAAACCTTTTTATGGTAGGTTTTAACTTTTTACGTCCCACATTACAGCTTTACTGGTGGATGTACAAATACATTAAATATCTAATATCAATCTCTCAGACTTTGAATGAACTGTTCCAAGTTCACAGCTGAGCAAATCCATTTCATAAATTTACCAGGTAAAAGGTCAGATAGACTTAAGATAGGTTGAATATATTTTGGTTTCTTAACTCAATGTACATGTATATAGAGAGCTACTAGAGATGTGTGTGTGGAAGATTTTATCTATCCATGCCATGAAGGCCTGTCTAAAAGTGGACTTCTTCAATGTCAAATAATTAATAAAGAGTAAGAACAATGACAAATTTTATAATTTAACAAATCCCATTTTCATAACTACCATCTCAATAGATATTGAGAAATTGCTACCCTGTTTCTACCCCGTTGTTTCTTTGAGTAAAACTTTGTTCATGCACTGCTTCGTACTCGCTTCAACAAAGACTTATATTACAAAGCTTATAGCTCTGTTGTTTCAGGGAATGATTCGAGGTTGTGTCTTTTTTTCTAAGCAATCAAACTAAAATAAATTCTATATAAAATGAATTTAAGTTTCCCCCACAAAAATATATTTGAAAAGTGCCGATTAATGGCGTTAAACCTGTGTAACAGTTCAGTAATATATATGAAAAAAAAAACACATTTTCCGGCGTTACCGCGAAGCACTATTCACGCACATCGACGTTACCTCATAAAAACGACTTGCATCCCATTATATCAGCTTATTTCAAATTTTTATATCACCAGAAGTTTAGTTAATGTCACTTGCCTACCTAAAATCGTAAAATTATAAGGTATAATATGCATTATTGTACTTATAAGAGTCGAAAAAAGCCAAAATATCGCTCAAAACGGTAGTCAAGTCATCATTTTCACGAATGATCTTGAAAAGTAAACAATTTTGTGGAAATAATCTTGATGAGGGATAAAGAGTAATGTCTTTGCAGCCGTATGCAGCCGTATGCAGCTATTGATTTTTTTCAGTTCGGTTAAATAAAAAATATGTTGGCCAGTTTCCTAACCGCGTTGGAAATCCTGTCAGATAGCCGCCATTTATTGCACAATTCTGCGCTACTTATTTCACGAATCGTACGTTAATTTCGCATTCTGGCGTTACTGGATATACACGGTGAGCCTGTTTTATCATGGCTTCCTCATTGTTAATAGTTTTGTAAATATTTTGATTTTATAAAAAACTTCAAAATGTTAAGACACGAGTAACTGGTTTAAAAAAGGCAATGGATAAATACTGATCGGGTGCATTTGACTGCATAAATAAGTAAGGAAGAGAACCCTACTTTTCCTGCTTGATAGCTCTTAAATCTTTACTTTTCATTTAAAACCATACTTTTTTTCTCTTCTTTCTCTCTTTTTTATGTTTTTGTTTTGTTTCTGTTTTGTTTTGTTATTTGCCACTTGAAAGTCTGAAAGTAAAAGTTTTATTGATAACTTAGCTGTGGCCCTGTGTTGTTTGGTCGTGTGGGTGTTGCGTCTTGTTTTTCACGCTCATTAGCGAGGGTGCGGGGCGAAGTTTAATAGATAAAACCTCGCCCCGCGGGGGCGCGGAGCGAGATCAAAGAAATAAAACGGCGGGGTTGCGGAGCGAAAACATGAATGACACAAATCAGCCACCATAGCAGACAGAATGTTCTTAATATTTGTATAGAACAGAATTTGATAAAGCAAATTTATGAAAGAGAAATCGGGGGTCACCATGCTACTTATTGAATTATTTATCCATAAACGGGTTTTTTTTTACTCTTTTAGATTATTTTCGAAAGCAGAAGTCCCAAAAAAGCAAAGGCATAATGATATTAAGTAGTAAAAACTGACATATAGAATTCATTTACCTGTGAAGTTGGAGTGAAAATGTGTTACTTACAATCGTTAGTTTATACGGGTTTTTTTCCAATGCCTTCAGCACTTTGATAACCATATCATTCATTTAATTCTTAACAAGTTTGTAATAGAATCATAAACATTTAATAACATTTATAGAATGACAGAATTACACTTTAATTTGATGTAATGTTCAGAAATGAGTGTGTTTGGAACGTGTATGTACGATACCATCAAGACAGCCTACGAAACGTCACTCATTATACTCAGATGCCCGTTTGTGCCAGAAAAAAATTTGCAAAGAGGGGCACATGAGTTGTTTCTCCACCAGTAAAGCTGGAGAGTCGCCATAATGACCTACACTGTTTTTGTGCGACGTAACCGTTTTGTACGACGTAACCGTCCCATACCCCCCAAAAAGAAAATCAAATCAAATGAGACATGTTTTTAAATTTATCGTTTCTTAGAGGATGGAATGTCATTAACAGTATTTGGTTTAAATACGTAATAGATAGAGTTAAATACTTTTATTAATGTGATTACATTGTGCTCGTTATAGTTTAAATATCACCGATGCACTATGTGCGTCTTCATACTACGACAAATGTGTTTAAAAATGTGTGCTGTGCTCTAACATTTCATGCTGGTGACAGTCGATTAAATTACCAATTACCACCTGTTAATTAGTTGGGAATAAGGAATAACATACTACCACCTATCCAGCTTGAAGAAACGTATGTTTAAGATATCTAGCATAGTAAATGAGCAAATGAGGGCGTAATTAAGACAGTATACCAAGGCATAATTAGGCCCCATCTAGAATATGGATCCTCAGCTTGGATAACTACGTCAAAGACAGACTAGAATGTGCTCGACAAGGTCCAAAACCAATTATTACGTGTAAAAACAGGAGCAATAGAATCCACTCCAATCAAGGCTATGAAGAACCTTACCACAATGCCACCACTCAGTCATAGAAGAGATGCCAAAACACTTGTACAAGCCAGCAAATATGAGTTCCTGCCAGAACACCGAATGACACAAAAGTTACAAGGGCTGACAAAGAATCGTCTGCGCAGAGATAGCTTTGTACACGAGGCCAAGAAACTGACTAGAACTTATGCTGAAAAACTTGGTCCATCTATTATACCACTTGATAAATCGGACCTGCCAACCCTATGGATTCAAGAACTGTCCAACACCCATATTAATATGACTGTGCCACTACTCCATTCAAGTACCAAAGATGATGTCA